GTGTCAGTTCCAGTTTCTGTTTAAATGTCCCTTATCAATGAGTCCTTCTGACTAACATCTAAAATAGCAGCTACCTGACACCACTGTCTAACCCTTACCCTGCTTTGTTCTTCTTCACAACACACACACATATATATATATGTTTCTGTCTCCCTGCACTAGAAAAATCCCTTAGGACAAGGAATTTTTTTTTGTTCAGCACTCAACAAGCACCTACATGAATGCTTCTTGCAACTAGTAGGAGTTCAATGAATATTTTTGATTGAATAAATTATAGGGAAAAGGACAGTATAAGAATACATGTAGATTTCTAGATTCCAGGGCATTCTATTTTCTGTTACTTATATGTACAGTAAGATAATCAGGGGAAGGGGTCTAGGATGTGTTGGGTTAAAGATATGCAGAGATAGTGAAGAGCAAGTTAACTAGAAAAATGCAATGAAATTTCCAGGCACTGTGCACAGCCCACTTGAGGTTGAAACTACTAACTTAGTGATTCCAATCTGTTCAGCAGAAAATTTTCTATGAAGAGGTACAGGCATGGAGAAGCATGTCGGTAAGAGCAGGATTGTAACGATGTACTGTTGAAGCTAAGATGGATAAAGAGGAAAGTGAAGAGTGAGGATTAAGTAGGGGCTTTCAAAAGGTTGGATGTCCTGATAAAATGAAAACAAGTTGTGGTGAGGTTCTAGAGCAGTCGAGCTGAGAAGATATCAGTCTGTGGTTCGACAGAGGGACGTTCCAATTACTGATTCATGACATGATAGCGTTTCTGGTGATAAGATTCAAGTTTTTGACTGGGATTGGGAGGCTGATGTAAGGGTCAGTAGAGCTGAGCCCTGGATGTTAAATGGGTTGTCCACACTGACTATGAAATTATCAAGATGGGAGACAGGAGAGAAAGTAAGGCAAGGAGCTGGATGCACAAATAAGCAGATGCTCTCTACAGAGTCGGATAAATGGGGAGCAGAGTCTTGAGAGTAAGCATCGGAGAAGGGTTTTGGGGAGACGACAGTATTTGGCACAAAGTCCCCCACCTTTGGAAGCTGAAAAGTGAGAACACTAGTCCATATGAAGGATTCCAGGGGATTCCTCAAGGGACAGCCAGGTCTCAGTCCAGGAAGGAATGAGATTCAGAGAAAAGCTGATCTGGAAGCGGGAATCTCAGAGAAAACCGTTTTAAAGGTTGGAGGTTGGGGAGGGGACAGAAGCAGCATAAAACCCTGACTCTCCTTGTCCTTTACCTTCCTCCCAACAATCGCCCGCGCCACATCAACTTTCACAAACAGAAATCGCGCAGAGAAAACTACGCAAACAAGCACTCTTCAACTCTCCGCGGAAGTGCCCACGCCAGAACTCCTCGGTGTCCGCGCTTTCCCATTGGTGGAAGTTTCTGCCAGCTTCAACCAGCTTCCGCTCACGACTAGGTTGAGCGGAGCCGTCTCTAAAAGTCACTTCCGCCCGACCCCGCCCACCCGATCTCTATATGGATGCTTCCGGTTTTAGGCCGCGCCTCATCTCGTGCGGCCCCGCCCCCTCCCCGCCCTGGGCCGACGGGCCAACCCTGCTTCCGGTGCGGGCCCCGCCCCGGCTGTGGCCCCGGGCTGCGGAGAAGTCTGAGACGCAGCTGCCGCGCGGGGGTCTGAGCGGCCGCTTCCACCACCGCCAGCGAATTTGAGGCGCCCAGCACAGGTAAGCCGCGTGGGCCCAGCTCCCTCAGCCGCTGCGGGAGCGGAGGCTGCAGCAGGTGGAAGGCACTGAGGGTTGGAACGGGAGGCAGGTGTGCAGGGAGAGACGTGAAGGAGCTGGCCGGCGGAGCGCGGGGGCCGCGGAGGAAAAGTGAGAGCGCTGGGAGGAGTATGGAGACGCCCTGCGCCCATTAGGGTAATTGGAGATAAAGGGACGAGCAGAGTAAGGGGCCCCCCGGGAACTGAGAGGGCGAGGATAAGGTGGGGTCGGGGCGATCAGAAGAGAACCAGCGGATTGGCTGGGAGGACTTGGTAGAGGTAAAAGTGATACGGCTGGATTGGGGAGTATAAAGAATAGGGGTCCGGAATAACCAGGTGGGAAAGTGTGGGGCTAGAAGGGGGTTGGAACTAGAGGGATCCCGGAGCGAAGGTAAAGGGAGTGGTGGGCGAGGTTGCGTTCAAAGCTGCAAACAGTCGATTGCTCTGGGGTTGGTGGTCCGGGAACTTTAGGAGAAACGGGAGAGGGGGCCATGTAAAAGGATGAAGTGGCTTAGATTTCTCAGACAACTTTTCTAAATGCAGGCAGGTGGTGTTGTTTGGATCGACTGGCTGTTGAAGGACTGGGGAAGATGGGCTTTTTTTTTAGGCGAGGATGTGTGTATTGAGTTGTAGAACTGAGTCATCTCAATCTTATTAAAGAGGCTGTGAGACACCTCCTCCCCTGCTAGGGACAGCATACAGAGAAGATGGTGCCACAAGAGAAGAAGCAGTTCAATGACTGGCAGGACGTGGTTCAGAAATTTCCCATTCGTGATTGATTGAACGTAATGATTATAAGAAAAATTAAAATGATCACTGAATTATTTGCTTTTTTCTTTTGTTTAATTTTCTTTGACTCAGATTGTTTTTTTTTTAATGAACACTTTTGCCAACTGGATTTAATGTAGTTGTAAGTTTTTCTTATGCTTTGTTACACTACAAAAAGGGCTAAAGGAGAATGAAAGTATTGCTGCAGGCATAACTCACTTTGTAGAGTGCTAAGAACTAAAAGCAGTTAAGTATCAAATTGGAATTTGAATCTTTCACAGACTACAAGAGGCAAAAGCAGTGCTCCTAAGATAAATAGAAAATTAGAGTTTATCTCTACTTTTTTACCTTTTTCTCTAACCCATTAAAATATTTATAAATCCAAACAGTTTTTATTGCTAGAAATGTAATTACTTCCCCATGAATTTTTGGAGACGCTAAAGGTATTTAGTTTTGTTAATCTTTCTACCCAATCCTAAAACAATGGAACAATGCAAATATCAAGTCCCAACCTGTGCAATGCAGCTCCTTCTATGTGGTGATAACATTATATGCCATACTGCAAGTCCTCTTCACCTTAAATTTGCCCAGGCATAGTAGTAACCCATTCAGTTATGGAGACTTGCTGAGGAAACAAAACTCAAGTGAGGCTTGTTGGGGGTGGGGACTTGGAGAGTAGGAAGGGAAGCGGGAAGGAGAGGAGGAGGAGGAGAGCGTGTGAAAGGGGTGTGTGTTTGGAGACTGATTGGTAAGAATGCTGATAAACCAGCCCCCGGAATACTTGGCCTGAAAGCCTTTTCTTTTTGTATTCATTGTAGAATGTAGTAGAAGTGAATCAGAATGAAAGAATATGTGAAGAGATTTGGCTGTTTATAAAAAGGAAGCATTAACTTGTATAGGCAGTATTGACCTATTTCAAATTAATTAACTTTAAAATCTCCAGAGGAATTTGTTTTTGAGTGATGATTGCGATTTGAAACTCTTGCCTCCTTGCCGGATTGGGGGATATACATTTCTTTCATGTTGTTGAAATTAGATTCTTTTTGAGGCAATAATGTCCAGTTGGCATGGCCCAGCCCACTTGAAAAGCAGGCTGGCAGTTCGATCTGGAAAATTTGAAAAGTTTAAACCCAAGAGGAGTTTATTAAGTTATTTTCTGTGAGGGAAATTGTCTTTCTGCCTGAGAGCTCTGTGTCTAGCTTAAATGATAATTTCTTTCTCTGATGGGCCTGATAACATGAGTAATATTTTCTTCTTTGTAGGCAGGCCCTTCTTTTCATTATTGTGGTTTTTGTACTCAGTATTTGTACAGTGCAAACCCAGTTGCTTTTTCAGTAATAAACATTAATATTTGGTAATGTTGAGGGAAAGCTATCATAACACGGATGTTTGTAGACTAGATATCATCTGGATTTGCTTCTTTTTAAACCTACAGTAGTCCATCACTAAGATTTATCCCATATTTCCCATCTTAAATTCTGTTTCTCTTCTTTACACCCTTCCCTACTCACCCAATCCCCAAAACTCCTACCACTCACTCATCTTAAAACTCAAGTTTAGAAGCATATGTTTAGGCTCAGAGCTCATGCCCTTAACTTGAGGAAAGAAAGCTTTTTTTTTTTATACCTGTTTTACATAGGTTTTTTTTTTTCTTCTTTCTCCTTTGTGGTTTCTATTAATTACCTAAGGTTTAGACCCACTGTGCCTGCTGGGCTGTGCCCAGGTCCAGAGCCATGCCAGTTGGTGGGTGAAACTTGAGGCAGTGATGGAGCCACCGCAGCAGCCACAGCAG